ATTCATATTCTCACAAGCATTGTATGGTTCTGAAGACAAAGAATAGATACTGATCTTAACTAACAAATAAACTAGGGTTAATTTCAAGGCATCAGTCATCTGGTAGACGTGTAAAAGTCATCAAAAAGCATAGCAAAGACAGTTGGTTGGACTTGGAACTTTGTGGGCAAAAGCTGCTCCATCCATTTTTCATGGAATTGCTGTTCTTCACTAACCACCCGCTACTTCTCACCTGCTGACAGATAAGTAGGGTAAAATGAAATCTACCCCATATCTTCATGACATTATAGATATCATACAAACTTAATACCTCCTGATGATTTAAAGGATTTTAGCTAAAGTTCCCAAGGAAAGAATATGAAAGTCTCTTCCAGGTTTATGGATTTGTTCCTCTTGGGACAAGCATGTGCCCTTGGTCCAATCAGCCATCACTGGGGAGATTAAATGTCCAAAAAAGACAGATTAAGCATAAAAGTGAGTGTGAGCAAAAACCAAAGATGATCGTACATCGTACAGTATGAGGACACTCCTTTCCACGTCAGTGGCTTCTGGGTGCTTCTCTTCATCCGTTAACTTTACTAAAGAAGGATAGCATCTCATTGCTTTACACTTGAGTTTTCCCAAGTGAAGCAGAATTCTCCATCATGGATGTGAACTTTACCTCTCCCACATGCATCTCTTTTGTGACTTCTCTGCTCAGACACAGTATTCATTTCTCTCTTGAGGTGTTAATTTCTCCTTATTAAACTTTCTGTATTGACCCTGATGCTGGGAAAGATTGAGGGCAGGAGGAGAAGGGGGTGACAGAGGATGAGATGGTTGGATGGCATCACCGACTTGATGGACACAAATTTGGGTGGACTCCGGGAGTTGGCAGTGGATGGGGAGGCCTGGTGTGCTGCAGTCCACGGGGTCACAAACAGTTGGACACGACTGAGCGACTGAACTGAACTGAATATATATTTTAAAATTTTACATATTAATCAGATTAATAATTTGTTTTATGGCTCATATTCTTTGTCATTAGTCAATCTGCCTTCTTATTGTATTTTTTGACATGCTAAAAGTTCAAGTAGTCAAATCTTCCCATTATTTTATTTTCTTTTATCTTTCTTCTTTTATTGTGTTTAATATTTTAAAAGTTCTTCATCTTGTCAAGATTAATAAATTGTCCACCTCACTTACTTTAGAAAAAGTTTTAAATTGCAATCAGTTCCTTAATATACTGAAATAAAACTTGAAAGATTCTGTGAAGTTTCAGGTGAAATTTCATTTTTTCCCACTTAGCATATTCACATTTCCCACTAGAACAATACATCTATTAAACATATTAGGGCATTTTAATCAGACTACATGAACGTGTTCCATAGCAAGATTAAATTTTTAAAAAGATTTTTTAAAAATATTATGGGCAAAATATATTGACCAGATAACTGATTGTAGACAGAAAGTTAGATGACCATTGGAATAGTCCAAGTAAGAAATACAAGTTTCTGAATGATATAGGAGAAGTACATAGAAAAAAATGGGATCTTAGGAGGATAGCAATAAGTGGAGATCTTTAGGACTTTGTGGTTATATGTGTAGGAAAGAACAGAAAACAAAAGTCAGAACAACGGGATGATGTCCAGATTTCTGGCTTTGGTTGCCCAGGAGATAACGGTTGTTATCCTTTGGGGGAAAGATGATAAATTTGTTACAGGCATGTGTGGACAATGGTTTATGGGATGAGCAGAAGGCGGGTCTGCAGATGTGGGAGATCTCATCTGGAGACAAGGACGGAGTACAAGCAACATCTCAGCAGAGGTAAACAGCGCACCGGGCCTGAGGTCCCTTCAGAGATGGCGAAGCCTGGGAAGAGAAGTAATTCTGAACACCAAAGATGTGTCTCACAAGCAAATTAGTTGTGCTAGGTAAGGTGGATGAAGCTGGGCCTCTAAACAATAGGACGTCACTGTTACAAAGACGGAAAGCAATTCCAGTGAGGATAGGCTCACGATGTCAATGGAGACTGGAGATTAAAAAAAGAACAAACATCAGTGGTGATAGACAACAAGGGGTGTTCAAGTGGGGTGAGGACAGTAAATATGGTTTGTATTTGGTGCTAGGGAGCTCCTGGGAATTTGATCAAGAACAGCTTCCACAGGACAAAGTTATGTGTATGAGAGAGGGGGGAATGTTAGAAGCAGCCAAATCACAGATAATCAAGGTGAAATAGGCAGTCCTCACATATAGACAGCACTGTGGCTCCTGCATCCTATTTCTGAAGCTCCAGCTTGAAGCAGAGGAAAGAAACATGATGATTATTTCAAGGATGCAGCAAGTACAGACATCTTTCCGAATTTTCTTTTATTTCTGTTGGAAAAGAGAGAAAACTGACTTTGGTTACCTGTTAAATGAAAACAGTGAGTTTGAGTAAACTCTGGGAGTTGGTGATGGACAGGGAGGCCTGGCGTGCTGCAGTCCATGGGGTCGCAAAGAGTCGGACACAACTGAGCAACTGAACTGAGCTGAGCTGAAATGAAAAGAACCGATAATGGTGACAGAGGAGAGGAATGTTGTGGAGGGACACCTGTCCTGACGAGGAAGAGGCGGGAAGGGAACCACAGGGAGGGAGCCACGCCTTCAGAGGCCACGAGCGAAGCGGTGGAAGGACAGCCAGAGAGACTAAAGCTTCTCCACAGAGACCAGAGGTCAGTCCACCCGCTGCAAACCAGAGAGAGGAGAGGAGCAGCTGAGGAGCAAGGAGGAGGCTCGGGATGCTTCCTGGGGAGGGGCCGGGAGGGCGCAAGGTCAGAATTGAGGCACCAAGAAATTTGGAAGCCTGTGAACATGTCCAAACACAAAATCGTATGATCGTGTGTGTGTGTGCTTTTTTTTTTTCCATCAACACTGCAGCAGAATAGACAGTTGTTTGGGGGACAAATAATGAGAAACTAGAATAGCAGGGCGTGTACTAGCGGACCCTCACAGTTCAGTATGGACATACTGAAGTATGTGACGGTCATGATGAGCTGTAGATCAGGGGCTCAAGAATGGGCTCCTGCAGTGGGAGTTAAATGTAAATGGAATTGAAAAAGGTGAGAAATGGAAAGAATAATACATTTAACAGACTTTAAAAAGTAAACATTGAAGCTTTCCAGATACTCCAAACGTAAATGCTCCATATGTTTTTATATTGTATTCCTATAACTAATAATAGGGTGATTATTATCATCAAAAATGATAAGTTTAAAACTGTTGTAATCAAATTCAAAGACATTTGGACTATATATAAACATTGTACCAAACTAGTTAAGAAAACCAAACCATAATGTAACAGGAGGCAATTCATAAGCTGTGGTCATAAGTCTAATGATAGATAAGGTTCCTGGAAGGGAAAACAAAAAATGTGGGTAAAATTTCCTCTTCAAGTTGGATTTAATCATGGAAATCAATCTGCTCTATGACTCTCAGAAGTGTCCTGAGAGTTCTATAGTTATTTATATATATTTTCTTCCCTCTTTAGCAAATGCCGTGACAAGAGGAAGTTATTATTTTAGTCAGAGCAGCAGATACAATTACTTGATGATTACGTTAGCAGTAAAGACCCAGCCTGCCAATGCCGGAGACATAGGAACACAGGTTTGATCCCTGGGTGGGGAAGATCCCCTGGAGGGGGAAATGGCAGCCCACTCCAGCATTCTTGCCTGGAGAATCCCATGGACAGAGGCACCTGGTGGGCTACAGTCCACGGACTGTGGGCTTCGGACACGGCTGAAGAGATTTGGCATATATGTTCCAATTTGACCAGGAAATCTAACAAAAGATACAGAGAACAGATATTTATAAGTGTTACTGTCATTTTAAGGTAATAAAGGGTAATAAAGGCAAAGATGCTGATAAACTTCTTCATGCTTTCTTTTTCACCCCTATATGACGATGGACAAACTTAGACAGTTGTGTTATACATTTCATGAGCAAAATAGCTTAACTCTCTTAAAAAGTGTTCTATGCACAACATACAGACATGTAGAAAAGTGCTGTTTAACTAGTGCCTTTTCCATTGAAATCTGATCGTATGGACTCTGATGATTGGAAAATTGAAATAAAGAATGTTATTACTATCTTCAGTAACATCTTTCAAGGGTGGAATACTCTTCATCATGATTGCAAAATGCGGGGCCACAGTTGCATTCATTGTTCAGTGAGCTTGTCCACACAGCTCAACCCACCGACAGCAATGAATGTTGATTGTGACCTTTTTAAGAAAGAAACTCTGCCCAAGGAAGACAAGGTCCTGGTGTGTGCTGCTTTGCTTTCCTATCTTCAGCAATTTCTGAAGCCACGGGTGGAGATGGTGGTTGGCCATAGGGTACAATCAACGGTCGATGGTTTTGATTTTTAATTCCAAACTCACCGACAGCGTTGAATGTTCACTGAAGCAACCTCGAAGCTCAGAATTCTGCTGACTTTACAATATCTGCGAGGACCTGGAAGGGGTGGGAGGCAGAAACAGCAGAGATGCTGTAGTCATACATTCTATGCATTCTAAGCCATTTCTGAAGAAAAAGGAAGAAGAAGCGTGATTCCTCCAGCCAAGAGTTTGGCAGACCTCCATGTCACATTATGTGAGAGAGAAGGATCTGTTTCATTGAGCTAAAAAAAAAAAAAAAAAGGCCTCTCTTGGCTTAGTTCCAGGGATGAATTTATCTCACTGTTAATGACACGGAGAATTTGTTATTCAAAGTAGCTTGAGGTATCAAATCAAAACAATATCTCATAATTTAAATGTGGTTATGCTTATGGTAGGTAAACATGATGTATTTGGATTACATAAATTAAATAGAATTTTCTTACATTACCTAAAATCATATTAATGTTAGTCAATGTTATCCTTTTATATTTAATAGATTTACATTTTTCTAAAAGAGGGTTTTAAAATTAGCATCATTTCAAAACTACTGAACAAAAAAATAAATGAAACCAACTCAATACATTTCTCTTAGCTTATGGTACAAAGATTTCATTGATACCGCGAAAGGTACAATCTAGTTGTGCTACAAAGCTGTTCATTTCCAAGGTTTTGGACATGAAAATCCTAACCCTTTTTTTGTTTGTTTATTTGTTTCTGCTCTTTTCATATTCCCTTTCTCCAACAGGGTTTTGTGACTTATACTATAAATTACTGTGAACTCCAGTGAATATATTTCTAGGCCCATTTTCAACAATTTTCTGTCATCCATCTTTTTTTAAAAAAGTCATTTTGCATGTATCAAAATCACGGCAGAATTTCACTATTTCATACACTCAAACTGGCACCCAGCAGGTTATAATTATCCATGGGTGACCCAAACCACAACAATCTGTGCTCCTACTTTGAAGGTGATCACAGTCTATTCCATTAAGACCATCGTTCTTGGAATATAAGTGGAACAGTCCCTCTCAACTTGTATACAATCCAATATCTTACTCAGCTAAAATATTTTAAAGCTACCAATTGTTTCATACCTTCCAGACTTTTTTTTTTTTTTTCAGGGCAGAGAGTTTAGTGATCTCTTGGGAGTTCATACTGAGGTGACACATAATCTTATAAAACAGTGACTAATTTGAGCTTCGTCGTGTTTCATTCTTTTGAAATAAGTACATTCTCCCTACAGGATAAAACTCCTTGGGAGGGTGTGCATGCTCAGCAGGTATTGGAGATGGAAAGACTACTATCATGGGACTGGGCGTGCACTTGTTTGCATGATCAATTACAAATGAAATTGTATCCCTCGCGCTCTGTTGCCTGCACATGGCGATATTAGTGTCAGGTCAATATGCAACCATTTTCAATCATGCCTATTCATCTCTGGGTACATCTGCTAACATTTGTATAATAGGGATGCTCTGAATAAAAAAAGGCTCTAAATTGTGTATTTTGCATGAACATAAAACACGCATTGGCCTACTAATAAGCAAAGCTCTAGGGCAGTTGGAATTAATTGCAACACATAACCTTGTTTTTCTTCATTTTCCAGCAGACTTTCCTAGAAGTCCTTAGCAGAATATAATTAACTTAAAATTCTTAAATATAAAAATGACTCACTTATAACAAAAAGAAATTTGACTAAATTTCATTTACACATAAAATAGCTGTAGTAAATTCAGCAGTTAATTCTTTCTTCTTCCTTGGACTAAATGGAATACATGATTGGTTATACTTTGTTGAAGATGGTGCCTCCTCTCAGAGCAGTTTACCTTTCCACCACTGGAAAATAGGATCTTGTTCTTGCTTGCAGGCACCCTAGTACTGGAAAGAAAAGAAACTTTTAGAGGCCTATATTGTCCCACATTTTTGTTCTGTACTTTGCTTTACTTGCTGATTCAACTTAATTTTTCACTGCTTCAAGCATGGCTTTCAATTACTAGTATCTTCTAATCCTATGTTTCCCATGTCTTTATTTTCACGACTTAATCTTGGCTGTAAAATATTTATCTTTAAAGCACTGAGATTTGACAGTACCAAGGTTTTACATTTTCTGCAAGAAAGCATAGAATGTCACTTTGGGGGAACACAGTGTCACAATTCCAGAATTCTAAGCAGATGGCAGCAATCTGAATTTTTGCATAGTTTTCCTTGAAGGAAAAAGAGCCACAAGACATAGGCCATTTATGGACAAATATCTTCCTCTACACTTTCCCATCATTTTGGAGGGTCATGTGGGGGGAAAAAGAACAATTTGTATCAAAGCCAGATTTATTTTAGCTTTTATTTCTCCATCCCTAAGCTTGTGAAAACATTAAGTATTTCAGTTTTCCTTAAGGTTAGTAGGTCATAAATAAACCAAAGCCATTTCTTTGCTTTGAGCGAGAAGGTCACAGGATACAAGAAATATCACTTTTAAGCACAGCCAACCCTAACATGAACTGACAGAGGAACATGGGGAGGCAGTGTGATGAGCCCCGGTAAAAGGCCACGGGGATTTGGAATGCTCGAGTTGTCTGCTTTAGGAATAGATTATATATCTTGTCTGATGACCTGTGCTTAATTTAAGTGACTGCCTCCGCCAGTCCTTCCAGAGGGCAAGTGTGTGAAATAGAGCATCCCAATGTCATCCTGTGGTCCTTCCCCCCGCCTGCCGCCTTGACCTACATTGAGCACCAGGCTCTGAGCTGGACCAGCGACATGGAAGCGGACTCTCCTACCGCGCGAGTCTTCTCCTTCATGCTACTTCATCTCGACACTTTAGGGGCAGCTCCTGTTCATGAATATTTATGGCTTAATCAGCTTTATTTTCTGTTCATGGAAATGAATCTTTTCAAAATAGAAAGAGCGAGAAATGTTGCCTTAGAAAAACAGCCACTGCTGCCTCACGCTCTCTGAAACCTGCAGTACCTGGGATGCCCCTTAACTGGGGCCCCGACCCCTTCCGTAGGTCCGTTTCCATCCTCTCACAGGGTTTCTCTCTCTCTTTCAGATGTGAGATCTCCTGAAGTGCTTCAGCACTGGCACTTTCACCTTACCAATTACACAGCCTATTACGGGTGCTCATTCTGGGTAATTATCATTGTAATTATTGGGGCTTCTGGCTACTTCAATAGAAGAGTGGAAGCTTCAAAGCCTCAGTGCCTGAGTCAACGCAGAGAGCGCCAAGCTGAACACTTGGACATGGTTCTTCACCGGGGAGGCAGAGAAAGCAGGCAAGTCATGCCAGAGCTTGGCTCCGATCAGACCAGCTTTCACTGTTGAAACACTGACGCCCCGGAGGGGCCTATAATTTTGTTTTCCAACAGCCTCGTAATTACTGATAACCCTTCCTCCTGCTGACGGCAAAGGGCCTGGAACGTTCTGGTTTTTCTCCCCCATAAACTATGGAAATGATCCCATACTACTCACTTTGTAAAATGTCCTTATGAATTTTTTTTGGAGAAGAGATTCATTTCTAGCACAACCTTTGTACTATTTGGCAAAGTTACCAGTAATGAGAAAAAAATGATTGATGCATAATGTGTATATGAATCGAATTTTTACATATGAAACCCATATTGTATGTATCAGGGGTCCCCAACCTCAGATCGAATGCCTAATGGTCTGAAGTGGAGCCGATGTAATAATAGAAATAAAGTGCACAGTAAATGTAACGCACTTGAATCATCCCAAAACCATTTCCCCCAACTCCTGGTCCATGGAAAAATTGTATTGCATGAAACTGGTGCCAAAAGGTTGGGGACCGCTGGTATATATGTCCCAAAATATACCGTAAGTCACTGAGAAATATTTTTCCACAGGCAAATCAGTCCAATGGACACTTATGGAGCCTTTATCATTTTAAAGAAATTTGTATTCTCTGGAAAGATTTCTGATGTCTGTTTTTGGTAGTATTCACAGATACATTTATGGGTTGCCTGTTTAAAAACCATACGCTACCTCAAGTATTTACAGAGTTTTAATCTAGTAGAGAAGGTTAAGGAAGAACCAGCATAACCCCCAAATGAACGTCACTTTTAATAAAAATGTAGAACTATTGATATATTCTGTGCTTATCTTACTTTTCTTATATTAACCATTTATTATCACAGGTTGGATTAAAAATGTTTTTTATGCAAACTATGTGTATATGTCTGAAGGTTTTCTCTGCATGTGAATTTCAGCAGTTTAAAAGATGCACCTCATTGGGAAACACAGCACAATAACTAGAAAGTAAGAGTTGGGCCTTTGTTCTGGGACCTGCCACTCACCATCACGGTTACACAAAATCACTGTCACATTCACTAGTTCACTTTATTGCTAAACAATCCTTTATAATAGATAATTTTGCAAGGGCAGGCATGACGCTCATTATTTAAGGGATAGAGATTTAAACATGTCTCCTAAGATTTTAATGGTTCACAAACTGCTGCTTTCCCACTTCTAAGACTGAAAAAAGAGAAATGCTAGATTTTTTTTTTTCTTTCTAAGTAGCCTCCAAATAGCTCATTCTTTAAAGACCAGCAAAATAACATTCCCAGTAAGGTCCGCTCTTTGTCGTGCTGCGTTCTTACCTGGTAGGTGGTACAGACTGGCTCTCCCAAGACAGGTGGTTCTCAAAAGGCTGGGGGTTGACTTAAAAGTTATCCTTCATCTCAAACGCTCCTGCGTCATTAACCTAATGCATCTTTATCTTCATCGTCAATTGACACAGTCAAGATGGCTTTTCCTGATCACCTTTCAAAATAGTTTCTTGTCCTTGAGCTGCTGTCAGAAATCATTTTCAATCAAGTAAGTATGTCATGGGTGTTACATATAATTAGACCTGTGTTTCAGTATTATTGTATATTTAAACAGTGATCAAATCTTCATTTTTCTTTTTGATGTTTCAAAGTTTGTCTGCTGGGAAAAATATGTCAGTGTTTCTTTGCTCTGAAATTTAGACTTCTTCCTGATGCAAAGAAAGGAAAGAAGATATATACAATACTACATTTCCCCAAAAATCATTAGCTATTTTGTTGTTATACTGAGCTATCAAAACTATTCCTTTATGAACAATAAATCATTTAAAGAACCAACGAACAAGTACATTTTTAAAACAAGAATAAAACCTTTTTGATAGGAAAAGACACAAGAATGGTGTTGAGTTTGGCGTGAACGGAATACAGTGAAAAGATTCAAATCATGGTTGAAACTAAGTTTTTTTTTTTTTTTCCATAATGATGAAGCATTATGTCAATAGTATAGCCATCATGACTTCGGCAAACTGTGCCAATGCCATGTTCAGCAGTGTTTATTTTTAACAAAGAAATATAATGCTTGTGTTCTAAGACTTTGCAGGAGTGGCTGATGCATCCTTCAGTTTGGAAAGAAGACATACATTGACCACTATTCAAAATAATTAAAAAATTAACCCCTAGAGAACACTACCATTATAGTAACTCAACATGTCTTATCCTGGTTTATTTTTAATCCCATAAATTAATCTTAGAAAATTAAGAGCAATATTGTTCCACAGAAAATAAGTATTTTGCTAGAAAATCATCTAGTTTTTGAAAAGAGGTAGATCTCTTGCTTATATATGTTTAAAATTTGTCAGTGGAAGAGATCAGATATGCATAATCCAAAATAACACATGCTAGTTTTTTTTTCATTTAAAACAATCATTACATTATATTGTTACATTATAAATTGAGTGATTAAAACCAGATATTTAGAATATGGATAAAATCTTTCAAACCATCCGAGCTTCATTCGTAATATAGTCTACAACCTTGACTTGTCCAAGCTTTTTGACTTCATTCCTCATGAACTGTGTTATTAGAATGCCTTACTATTTTTGGAAGATATTGTGAATGTATTTCTGGCTTCATAAAATATACAAGCATCTGTTCTGTTCTTTCATTCAACAGGATACCAAATGTTTTTTACATCAACCTGTGTGAAACAATGTATATAACACAATTTTATTTCCCATGAGTTTTTAGTAAGCACTAACTCTGTAGTAAAAAACAAAACAACAAAAAACTTTGAATGGTTAGGAAGGTAAAAGGGAAATGAAAATATTAAACAAAAATGATCCATGGGAATTATAAAACAGAAGTTACGATGTAAAGTAGTGTACAATAGTTTTCTAGGGGTCGTTCCACAGAGAAATTTTAAAATAGATGAGGTCAGCAGAACTTGATAACCTTTAAGTACAAGCTGTATCTCTATTAAAAGATTACTTCTTGTGGTTTTAATAGTATATAAAATACTATATTCAGAAAATATGGCAGTTTATAAAGGTTTTTCATATGAAGTTCCAGTACGCATTACACAGCTTTTGGATTACTGCATCAAAATCACTTTTTTTTTGGGGGGGGGGTGGGTGGGTAGCAAGTACTGCCCTCTGGATTGTCAGGCAGTTCTCCAAAATCACTTTTATATGAATTTATCCTTAAAGAAAAATCTAAAGGAAACTTGGATGTGCAAGAACATTTCCTGATAATGACCAGCAGGTTTTCTCTACAGGTGACTTGTGGGCCAAGAAAGGATTCTAACCAAAAGTCAAGTCCATTAAAGTTAACTATCACATCACTCAATAAATGTTATGAAAATGAAATACTTTAGCAGTTGCTCCTCACATAGATGCCGTATGACACATTTGGATTAATTGTCCAAAGAATTATTTTGAATGCTGATGAATGACTTCTTCTAGATATGATATTCTAAGGTTTTATATTTTTATTCTTTTTTATTTTCATCAAAGAGAATAAATGTATAGGCCTTAATATTTCCTCCATTCTACATTTTAAGAGAACAAATAGGCAAAAACCCAATATTTAGTTAACAATCCACAGTACTTTTTAAAGAAATATTAATAGATCAGCTTGTTCCTTAAACAATAGGACCGTGTGGCAAATGGATTCATTGAAATCATAATTGAGGAGAGAAAAGACAAAAGACTTCATTCAGATATTACTTTATGTTTGTGCTATTCTAAGAATGTTCCTTATTAAATATGTAGCAATAATCCAGATATTTTAACAATTTTAAACTACTCATTATATTCTTTATAACTGTTTCTCCTCCAAAACAGTTATACCAAAATTATTATATATTAAAATGTTTCCAGAGACAGAGACAAAAGAGAGAAAGAAGAAAGAAAAAAGTTTCCTTTCATCCAAATTTTAAAATCTTCACTGTTGAGTTGCTTCCCTTTCATATTAACATATCTTACAAAAATAAATCAAATGACTTAAAGATTCAAAAAGGACCATATGATAAATTAAAATCTATGCGAGATGGAGTTAAAGCATCTTTAATGGTAGTAGGTAATAGTAGAAAATTATGTTTTAAGTAATCTTTATGAAGTCACTATTTACAACCCTGTAAGGACACCTAAACACTACTAATCAATCTGGGGAGAAAATACCTAGCTTCTGGCAAAGATATGTGATAAGTTTATCATATTTTTCAGAGTTATTCCTTTTGGACTTAATTAACAAGCAGCCTCTCTCCTGTATTACTCATAAATGGTTATTAGAGATTAATGCAGAAGGAAACTGACAAAGTGACACATTTGTAGAACTATTTTCAACAACTGTTGTTTACTATTCATGATAGAGTGGCTCTAGAGTTAACAGTTTTTAATCAGTGAGGGTATTAACTCGATAATCTCAGATCAAAGTCAATGTTGGTGCTTTTTTTTATATCCTCTCTGAAACTCCAATTAAATACAACACTCTTCCTGGTTTCCTGTCTTAAACCTAGTTTTTAGTGTTGCCTGGAGGCTGGTGAGCAGCTGCAACATTCCAACCGTGAAGCTGATGCTTTTTCATGATGAGAGAAGTACACAAATGCAAATACTGTTACCTTTCTTCTGGAAAAGGATCTACAAATGCAGATTTGGGGATGGGGGAAGCTTAGCTATCAATGGATTTCAGGCATAAGAGTATAGATATGCCCATAAGTACTGTAAAGCTTTATGGAAAAGATGACATTGTACAAATAAACTCATCATATAGCCACAGGATAGTCAAAGCTATGGTCTTTCCAGTGGTCACGCAGGGATGTGAGAGTTGGACCACAAAGAAGGCTGAAAAAAAGAAAAAAAGCGAAAGTGAAAGTCATTTAGCCATATCCGACCCTTTGCGACCACACAGACTACATGGTCCATGGAATTCTCCAGGCCAGAATACTGGAGTGGGCAGCCCTTCCCTTCTTCAGGAGATCTTCCCAACCCAAGGATGGGACCCAGGTCTCCTGCATTGCAGGCAGATCCTTTACTGTCTGAGATGTCAGGGAAGCCCAAGAACACTGGAGTGGGGAGCCTATCCCTTCTCCAGGGGATCTGGCTAACCGAGGAATTGAACCGGGGTGGATAACACAAGGCAAGAAGGCTGAGTGCTGAAGAATTGATGCTTTGGAACTGTGGTGCTGGATAAGACTCTTGGGAGTCCCTTGGACTGCAAGGAGATCAAACCAGCCAATCCTAAAGAAAATCAACCCTGAATATTCATCGGAAGGACTGATGCTTAAGCTCCAACATTTTGGCAACCTGATGCGAAGATTTGACTCATTGGAAAAAAAAAAAAACAAAAACCTGATATTGGGAAAGATTGAAGGCAGGAGGAGAAGGGAGCGGCAGAGGATGAGATGGTTGGATGGCATCACTGACTCAGAGGACATAAGTTTGAGCAAGCTCCAGGAGATAGTGAAGGACAGGGAAGCCTGTGCTGCAGTTCATGGGGTCACAAAGAGTCAGATATTACTGAAAAACAACAGCATAGCCATAGGATGGAGACAGATAGTTATTCTCTAAAAGCATTAAATGTTATGCTCCATTGACAGAGAGACTCAGAAACACAGAATAATTGGGGATGAGTTATCAGTGATTGAATTCTACTTCCTACTCCAACCCCTTTCCATCACTGTATGTACACAATGTATAAGTTTCTATTTTAGTACTTTTTGTTACCAAATTATTAGCTAAGGAGTTTCAAAATCAAAATTGCACAAGAAGACAAGATAAATGATTCTGTATATATATTCTGAGACTTCGAGGCCATTTGATATTTCCCACTGGACTTTCAAATGAGAGAAGAAGGACATGTCATACGTTAAGGACAAGTACACCAAGAGATGTGGAATTCTAGCTTCTGTATTGAATCTTTCTCAATGTGACATGACCTTCAAAAATGGAAGATAGATACGCCAGCCATTGTGTGAAGGTACATTGCATATACCTCTCCTCCTCTGGCTGTGCTGCCACTAGGCAGTGAGACTCTTGAGGTCCGGGACTGTTTCTCAAACATCCGTGGATCTTGGGGACCTGACATAATCCCTTGAATACAGTAAGCACACAATATGTGTGCGTGTCTTCCTTAATTCTCAGGCACAGGTCTATACCCAGCTGTCCACCAGACACAGTCTACACCCCCGCCACCCTGCATTTACCTGGCTTGACATAAAACAGGGTGAAGGGAGCAGCTAACTTCCCCGAGAGGGCCCCATGCGTCGGAATGTTCTAGAATCTAAAGTCAGAGTCACAGAAGCTAAACATCCTCCCAAATTCTAACACGGAAACCTTCGAACAGATTTTGACTCATCACAGATCTTGGCCACCAGAATCATTGATACCAAGCAATGCCAAGGGCCAACTTTTAGACAAGTAATTCTTGTTTGTTCTTTATTTAAAGTGTTTCACTAAATTAGGAATTTTTACTCTTGCATGCAACAGACCATATACTTTCTCCTGATCATGTGCCAAAACCATGACATTTAAGTGACTAAGTAACAACATAGTCATGAATATGTTTCTAGCCGTTAAATGAAATTTTTTGAGTGACTTAACACTTCTTCCAATAATATTCTTATTTTTGAAAACATTTCTGTTATCTTTATTTTCCAGACGAGGGTATTACGGAAAGAATAATAATACAGGGCCCATTCTTTAGCTGCTCCAAGCTTTAGTGAAAAACTGCATGGGGAGAGCAGAAAGGGAGGTGATGTCCTCCGGTTAGACAAAAGTGTGCCTTGGAAATGAGTTTTTCTTCTTCTGTTCCTGTCGAAATATACCTTTGGCAGTGAGTTTTGTGCCCCCCCCCCCCCCCCGGAATCTAAATATTGTAACCACATATTGTTCTCCCAGTGAGGAAAAATAAAAATAAGATACTCTGATTCTGTCCACCACAATGACCTTTAGAGGTATTTCTTTAAGTACAGGTGAAAATTTGCCTCAATCTTTTCATTCCAGTCCTTGTGAAGCAATCAACTGTTACAGGCACCAAACTTTGTAACATTAAGGATGTTTCAACTCTTTTGAAAATTGAATCACTAGAGGAAAGTTGTCATCTTTCAGTATCTTTAAAAAGTAGGGTTAGAAGGTAAGTAAGGTTGGATTTAGACAATTCCAAAAAGTGGTCAGGAGAAGATTCTCTGGGTTATAGTTTCATCTTCTAAGACGATTAATTCTGAAGGCCCAGTGGAATTTGGATTACATATTAGGATTTGTTTTTCCAAAAATCAGTCACATTAACAAAATTGACACTTATAAAAAGTCTCAGCAAATGGAAAATTTGTTCCACAAAAGAAACACAAAGGCTTACTTACTAATGGTTAAGTTGCTATCAATTACCAAGCTCACAAGGGAAAATGTTTTAGCCTTCTTAGATGTTTCTTCTTTAACATCATGTTAGCTAGAAGATATTTTCCCCAAAAGATGATGTTAGAAAGAGCTTTAAAAATACTGTTAGAAAGTTTATTCAAGTCTTTTTTTTCCCCCAATGTTTCTTTTGCTTTTTTAGATTCAGTTCCTATCCATGTCCAAAAAGTCGATAATCGCACCACTGTCACGTTATTACTCTTACTGTATGTTTCGGCAAAGCTTTCTCACTGAGATGCCTGTCTATACTGTGGTCATCATATTACGTCTAAAGTTGCATTTTTAAATTTTCTTTGGATTTCTGCTTATTGCCCACAAGAAGAAATTCTGAAAAGAAGATAATAAATTTTATTACATAGTTACCTAAAAGGCTAAAGCATTCCTCAAATAGCTTCAAACATGTTGACTAATTTGAGCAATTCAATTAGTTTCTCCTCACACCTCATCCTTTATATCACAGGAAAGGCATACTTTACATAAGGATATTTACAGAGAAATATCTGTTATTTGGAAAGAAATCTATAAAAATATAGCATGCTTCAGTCTACTTTCAGCTTTTATTTTTATGGTTAAAAAAAGAAAAATAATTTTGGCAATAACTTGTCAAAAAAATCCTCTCAATTCTTCTTGCTATTTTAGGGTAGCAAAAATGGTTTACTAAATGGTGTTTTTGACCTAAATGATCACTTAAAAATAGTTTCTTTCACGTTTTCAATTTGATACTCTGTCCAGTTATGTTAAGATCAGCTGAAAGACACAAAATGTTGCTAACTTATACCGACTTCAAAGAAACTGTAAAAGTTCAATTCTGTGTCCCCAAATTATATGACTGTAATTCTAATTAACAAAATTAACTCCATGAAAGACCTTTCAATGAGAACTTTAAAGTTACCACGGTTTCCCCATATCACACTGAAAACATCTGAGGGTGCTGCAGAGAAATATTATCATTTCCTTGGGATAAAAAGTTGGTATAAAAAAGCTAAAAATGTCCCTTGGAGGCAAAAGATACGAAAGACTAAGTTTCCTTTCTGTTTTGGGAAATAGCTTGTGGCATACGGCAGAAAGAATGGCAAGGGGCTCAATTTTCCTGCTGCCGTTAAATATAACTTTTTACTTTAGCTAAAACCAGTCTTATATTGAAAGTACAATTTTTGCAAACCTCTGTGGTTACTAAATATACATTATTGAAGTGGACAGTAAAATTTTAAAATTAGCTGTACATCCATTATCACGAATCTGGAATACTTTGGGAGAAATAGTGGAATAAAAATATACATAGTATACTGAGAAATTCAAAACAGATGTCTCCTAAAATTCAGTATATTTACATACTTGTAAATAGTATCTCTTTCCAAAACATGACATTTCTCCTTTAGGACAGTTTGTGTGTGTCCATGGGATGAAGGGGGTGGGAGAAGAAGAATAAATTTAATCCAAACTTCTACACTTGATGATACTGCCCAAGATTGAGCTCTTATAGCTATTCCAAGAGCAACAGAATGTTTCTATTTGAAGAAACATCCGAGTGACTAAAGATTGGTGATTTGCTTTAAATCGACTTATTTTCATGCTTTTGCACATGTCTTGGGGAATATTTGCTCAACACTCCCCCCTTGGTTGTTTTTTTTTTTTTTTTTATAGTTTTAAAGATGTCAGAGAGTGATACAAAAAAAATAACAGCCAGGGCTGTTTTCAAATATCTTTCAGCAGGAAGATGACTGAATGTAGAGGCCGCATCCGTCTTCTGATTGCTTTGCAGTTCTCAGCAGAGTATCTTCAGGTAGTCTTTATAAAGCCTTGGAAACATATGCAAGGTCTTTAGGAATCTGAAGTTAAAATTCCAAACAGGATCAACCCATCTTTCCCGGCTTAGATTTAGATGCAAACACCAACACCAAATGACTTCTATTGCTAATTTAGTAACTGCACATCAAAGCCCCAAATAGAAATCAAGAAAATATTTTTCCATCTAAAACTACCTATGCTTAAAATTTTTTCTTAGTAGAAAACACAATAAAGAAAGGAAAGAAAGGATGGATGACAGAGGGCAGAAGGGAGGGAGGGATGGAGGAAGGAAAAAGGAAAGATTTCTAAATGGGCATAGTATTATTCTACCAGCAGTATTCCCTTAAGAAAAAAAAAGGAAAACAAACCAAAAAAAAGAAAAGAAAATTGTTTCATCTTTGTTTTTCTTTGTGAAATTTAATATTATGAAAGTCTATGGGTTCATTACAGAGAATATCAACATGAGGAGTTGATACCAAATAGAATACATATTATACGATAAGTACTACTTCTTTGAATATAGATTATTGGCTAAAAATGAGCATAAATTGGGATCATTCTCAATGTAGCTAAAAACACTCACATAAACTCTTAAATGGGCTTTCCTGGTGGCTCAGATGGTAAAGAATCCACCGCCTGTGTGGGAGATTTGGGTTTGATGCCTGGATTGGGAAGATCCATATTCTTCCTGAATACAGGAAGAATCCACTCCTGTATTCTTGCCAGGAGAATTCCATGGATGGAGGAGCCTGGCAGAAAGAGCAGCTAACACTTTCCTTTTTCACACTCTCTCATGAGAAATCTTAAGGAATAACCCTAAAATTACCGATGATTTCATGAAGTGATGCTGAAGATGATTGAAGCTCATTCTGTTTCTTTTATTATAAAGACTATTCTAAGATTTCATTTCCTATCCAAACAGATGAGTCAAACTTCCAACTCTTTGGACTTTTTCTTCACATAGTTTAATCACATCATTTCATCAAGTAAAAGAGGAAATGACTGCTTAGAAAAGTGAAGTAACTTTGCCTGAAATCCAATTAAGGTACAGAGCCAGAGCCAGGAGTCAATTCCCAGTCCCAACTGGGGACCGTGTCCAGTCATCGCTTCTGCCTCGCAGGTGCTCCGAGAAACTCATGAGCTCCATGTACATCTCTTCCACCTCTCAGGACGGTCATTATTGCTCACCTCCTCACTCTATTTTTGATCTGTTATACAAGTTTATTTTTTATTTTGTTTCAGCCAAAAGGTAGCACCTAGAATTCCATAATCTTTGATTATAACATCATTCATCTTCCATTTGAATTGTTTTTAATCTCCTTTATTTTGATTATAACATCATTCCTCTTCCATTCGAATTGTTTTTAATCTCTTTTATTTTTTGTTTTTTGAAAAATGCATTTAAGAACCTCGAACATCCCTGTTCCTTCCAATTAGTGCCATCACAGTGTTGCCATGGGGACAGCCAACTGCTCATCTGCCCTCCCCTGCCCCCAACCCCAGGCTGTCTCCCCAAAGCCACTGGCAGATACATCTGATCTCAAAATGTCATCAAACATCAACCTCCATTCATTCTGCTTTTGAAGGGCAAGGAGGCTTAATGAATTTTTTTTTTCTTTGCCATTTTTCCCTGGGAGAGAAGTGGAATGCTTTCTGTTTTGCAATAAATAAAAAACTTTTAATCTAACTCTTAAATCCCTGAATGCTTTTTCTTCTTCCTTCCTCTGCTCCCCTCCCACCACCCCTTTCTCCTTCCCTCTTCCTTCTTTTCCCCTCCTCCTCCTCCTTCTTCTCCAAAAATAGCTACCTTATTTTTCACTATTAGAAAGGAAAAGGGTGAAATGTAATTTGGAAACAGAACAAAGCATTACCTGCAGGATTATACATTCGACCTTAAAACTGTATTTTTTCAATTTATCTTACCATATTGAATTGATATTCAAAAAGTTAAAAACTCATGTTCTATCTGATCCATGTGAGAGATACCTAACAATACA